CAAGGGTACTGGACTGTTCACTGCTCTGGAGTCCTGACCATAAAAGTCAGACAGGGGTTCACCAGTCCGTGCCTTTTGGCCTGGGATTGCCTACCAAGAGATGGCACTGTTCTCTAATTTGTCCCAGGACCGCGCAAGAGCCAACAACTGTTCTGACAGCTGTTAGTTGTCAGCATACGGGATTTAAGTGTCTAGCAAATGCTTTGTTGTTCAGTCACTAAATCATGTCCAAGTCTTCTGTGACCCCATGGACTGTAGCCTGCCAGGCCTCTCTGTCCACAGGATTTCCCAGGCAAAATACTAGAGTAGGTTGCCATTTCCTTCTTCAGTGGATCATCCCGACCCAGGGATTGAACCTGTGTCTCCTGCATTGCAGGCAGATTCTTTACCACCGAGCCAGCAGGAAAGCTACCTTTTAGCATTACCCTTAGGTTCTGGGCTGATGCTGACTGAACTGTTTACATCAGTCACTTGGTGGCTTTGTAGCGTTCTCCAGACTAACCTCAGTGGGAATGCAGGTATTCCAAGTCTTGCCGTGACCATTCAGATACTGTGTAACAAAAACTAGAAATTAAATGTAGAAATATTGACAATATAAGAAGTTAAAAATAATGCTTGGCAGCACTATGTATTACTTAGGTATACAAACAGATATGGTTCAAATAAAGAGAAACATGTAAGAATGATAAGAACGACATTCTGGATAACTGTTACCTGGGTGGAGAGGGAACAGGATTAGGGAAGGATTTATAGGGGCCTTCAGTTCTATTCATCTTATATATTATTAAGCTTAATGGTGGATATGCAAGTGTTAATCATTCTTTAATCTTAAATATTTAAAAATAATTTATAATCATTACTATTGATGGAGACCATCTTTCTACATGAGAGCTAATTTTTCATTTCTATCCTCATTAGTCTCTGTTGAATATTAAAGCAGTGTATTGATTTGGAACCGCAGAATAAAGCAGTCATTCATACAAGTGTTTACTGTTGAATGGTAGAAAGTTTATAGACTTAAGAACTTCACCTGAACATTATTACAGTTATTACATTATTATTACACTTCTGATAGACTTTTTGGTTATTGGACTTCTTTCCCTTCTTACTATGGGGATGGGGGTCTCTGCCTTACTCAGACTTACAATTTCTGCCCTATAATAGGCATTGTGTGTGTGCTTAATCACTCAGGCCTGACTGACTCTTTGCAACCCCATGGACTGTAGTTCACCAGGCTGCTCTATCCATGGGGATTCTCCATGCAAGAATACTGGAGTGGGTTGCTGTACCTTCCTCCAGGGGATCTTCTAAACCCAGGGATAGAAACCTGTCTCCTGCATTGCAGGCGGATTCCTTACCATCTGAGTCGCCAGGGAAGCCACATAATTGGCATTAATCAGTGTTAAATTAAACTGAATGAAAAAATAAATAAATAAATAAACTGAATGAAACACAAACATGACAGCTTTTATCCTTACAGAGCTTTCAGTACACTAAGGGTGAGAAAAGATACAGGACAAGGTGGCCATGAGAAGAGCTGTAAGTTATAGGCAAAATTCTCTGGGGAATTTATTCAGACATTAATTTCATTGACAGCTATTTCTTAGGCATCTACTACGCCCTGCGTATGGGCTTCTCAGTTAGGGCAGGGGTGAAGAATCCATCAGCCAATGCAGGAGACGCGGGTTCAGTCCCTGAGTTGGGAAGATCCCCTGGAGAAAGAAATGGCAACCTACTCCTGTATTCTTGCTGGGAAACCCCATGGACAGAGGAGCCCGGTGGGCTACAGCCCATGGGGTCACGAAAGAGTTGGACAAGACTGAGCGACACCCTGGGTATATAATTGTAAATAAGAGAGACACAGTCCTCGGTTATTACATGGCCCACTTCTCACCACCTTCATCACTACTTCACTGGCACTGTCACCAATATTTTTTATTTGGATTCTTGCAATAATCCAATGCTGGAATCCTACCTGGCCTCCCTACTTCCGTTTGTTCCTCTACACTAAATCTCAACTGCTTCCAGAGAAATCCTGTTAAAACCCAAATTAGGGACTTCCCTGGTGGTTCAGTGGTTAAGAATCCACCTGCTAATGCAGGGGTCAAGGGTTCAATCCCTGGTCTGGGAAGATCCCACATGCCTCGGGGCAACTAATCCCATGTGCCACAAATACTGAGCCTGCACTCTACAGCCCATGAGCTACAACTAGAGGAAGCCCATGCACAGCAACGAAGACCCAAAGCAGCCAAAACTAAATAAATAAATTTAAAAAACCAAAACCCCTAAATTAGAGCTCATCCCTCCTGCTCTAAAACCTCATCTGTGGGAGACCACAGACATGGCCACAATTCTTTAAATTCCTCCCATCAAGAGATGAAGTCTCTTTCTCAACCCAGAGCATCTGACCTGGCCTTGTAACTATCTTTGTCCAATAGAATGTGGCAGAAGGACCGTGGTGGGAAATCTGGGCCCCAGAAGGATTTGAATGCTTCCAGTCTTCCTCTTGGAATCCGAACGGCTGTGTTAACAAGCCTGGGAAAGCCTGTTGAGGGATGAGAAGCCACGTGGAGCAGAACTATCCTGGACAAGGTTGTCCTAGACCAGCTGATGATCAGCCAACCTACTGGGTATATGAGGGCACAGGACGTGTAACTGTTCCGGGCAAGATTGTCCTAAAACAGCCGATGACCAGCCATCCTACAGGTATATGAGGACATATAATGAGGTCTGCTGAGAACCACCCCCAGCTCCCCGGGGGGAATATTCCAGATGATCCTCTCACTCGAAAGCTGACTAAATGGCTGTTGTTTTAAACCACTGAGATTTCTCTCTTTTTTCTTCTTTTTTTTTTTTTTTTTGGTGGTTTGTCATGCAGCAAAACAAATGGATTCATCATCTCATTCAGAGAAACAGTCAAAATACTAACTGTATCCTTGGTACTTAGAACTGGGAGCAACGTAGGTGCTCAAATACTTGTTGAGTAAAACTCACTTGTGAGTAAAACTCACAAATGGCGCTCACCTTCCAAAGAGGGAACACCCGGAAAAAACAAAGTGTAATTACTAAGTTCGATGAGTGCTGGGGACAGACAGTGGCTGAGGTAGAGAATCACAGCATCCAAGTGGGAGGGCAGGTCCTCTGGGAGCTCCCCATCTCCTTCAGAACAAAAGCCAAAATCCTTACAGAGGCCTCCAAGGCCGACATAAATGCCTGGGAGCTCGCTGACTTCATCTCCTACCACTCACAGCTTTTCACTCCAGCTCCACTGGCCTCCTTGCTGTTCCTCTGACATCCAAACATACTCTCACCTCAGGTCCTTGCTGGAATGTTCTTCCCCTAGACACCCACACCATTCACTCCCTCCTTCCCTTCAGATCTCTGCTCATTTGTCTCCCTTTCAGGAAGGCCTTTCCCAACCACCCTGCAGAAACAGTAACCCACTGACCCCCAGAATTCCCTACCCCTTACCCGCTTTATTTTCTTCCATGCCCCTTGTCACCTTCTGCTGTGTTAAATATTAACTCCTGTGTTTACTGTCTGCTTCCCCCACTCAAATACAACTTCCACGGGGGAAGGGATTTTGTTTTGCTCAATTTACCTCCAGGACAGTATTGTCTTAGGCAGAAATTCAGCCAGTGGACACAACATCCCTCAGGGCCATACTTCCTTTCAGTGAGGACTAAGCAAGGCAAATATTTAGCTTGGAGCCATACGGGGAATAAGACAAGGCATTTTTTGAAAGCCCGAAAGCCTAGGTGTGTGGGGGATTGCTTATTGAGAACTTATCAAACATGCATGTAACAGGACAAGTGGCACTACATCTAACAATTGTCTTTATGGCATAGTTTACAGTCTGCTGGGGCTTTGTAATCCACTTTTATTTGCTTCTCGAAACAGCCCTGAGAGGTAGACAGAGAAGATTTTATCATCCTTCATTTACAGATAAATGAGCGAGCTATCCAAGACCACAGACATACTAAGGAATAGAGGGAGATTTCAAATCCTGATTATTTCGACTCCCAAGTACAGCGCTCATTTCTGTGTCTGTGTGTGAGTTCAACTGTTCCTCCACTCTGGGCTCTGACCTTGGGACCTTCATGAATCGTTAAGATCCCAGGCTGACCCTGATCCCCTGAAAGACCTTCAACACAGGAGGCATCTCTTCTCTAGAGAGAGCACCTGCCAAGAGGCACAGGCAATGAATAAATGCTTAGAACATCGATTCCAGGCTAGCCCCTGTGGCTTTCAGACCTACCATTGCCCCTTCAGTTTGTCTGGAAAGGTCTGAGCCCTTGGGTCCCTTCACCCCCGGCCCACCCCAAGGCAGGAGAGACAGAGAGAGAAGCCCCCCCACCCCCCAAGACAGGAGAGGCAGCCACTTTGGAGAAAAACCAAAAAGAAATCCCAGCCCGTTGCTTTCCTTTCGGTTTAAAATTCAAGTCGGGTGACAATGGAAACTCTTCCCTTGCTGTCCTCTCCTTTCTGCCCATGTTGACAGAAGACGGACTTGCTAATTCTGGCTGGGGTTTTTCCCTCCCTGGGCTGTTTTTCTCTTTTTATCTTCATCAATTGAAGTGAGCTGTTCTGCCTTTCAAACTGTCGGAAGGTATCTGGGGTTTTGTGTATTTTTTTTTCTTTCTTTCTTTTCTTTCACATAATTCTGTGGGTCTTTTCCCAGATATGTATTTTCTCTCAATTTAACTTCTAACTTAAGTTTCCGCCCATGTGACTTCCAGCGCGAGTTACCAGAAACCACAAGAGTGAGAGAGGGCGCGAGCCCCAAGGCAAGCGACATGTCCCTGTGGGGAGCAGAGCCTCTGCACCCCAGAGCGAGGAGGACGCCGGGGTCAGAGGCAGCGGCAGGGCGGGCAGAGGAGGGCCTTGCGGAGGGGGGTGGGCTGCTGGCCCGCGGGGAGCAGTCAGGAAGGGAGGCCGGCTGGTGACAGGAGAGCCCCGAGGCGCCGGGGGCTGCGTGGAGAGCCCGGAAGACCGCGGCCATGCCTCACAGCTCCGACAGCAGCGACTCCAGCTTCAGCCGCTCTCCGCCCCCCAGCAAACAGGTAGGGCCCTGCCTTTCCCTCCTCTTCCTCCTGATTCTCCGGGGCAGAGGGGAGAGGGCCAGGCTTCCTGGGCCCCTGCCCAAGGACGCTGAGGGGCCAGGAGATGGCTGGTGGCCGGGGCATCCTGTTAGACTCAAGGGCTGGAGGGAAGCTGTGCATCTCGGGCGGAGACCCTCATCCTTCCGCCCCTCCTGCCAGAGGATGCTCTCCGCGTCCCCTGATGGTGCCCATCGCCTTCGCCTCACCTGGGGTCCCATCCCAGGGAGCTTTCTAGGAAGTCGAGAGGGGAATGGGCACCAAAGAACTCTGGTCTCTCAGAAGAGAGCGTCTACCTCTCTCCAAGGCGGTAGCAGAGTGAGTGGGGAGGAGCGTTGGTGCGGGCTGAAGGCACGCACACCCGGAAAGCTAGACGGTTGCCCAGGAGACAGCCGGCAGAAGAGGAGAGGAAAGGGATGGGGTCGGGGGAGGCAAGTTAGAAGGAGGAGGACCCCAGGCCAGCTCGGAAGGATCTATCTTACCTCCCAGCACGGAACCTGTTGCTGGCACAGAAGGGGGTTAGGAGAGCTGAAGGAGGAAGGAAATGAATCAGGAGATGGTTCTGGGCACTTGAAATTATTCCCTTGTAGCTCAGCTCTGGGGAAACTAGAGAGAGGAGGGTGGAGATTCTGGGTGTCTAAGATCGTGACCTCCAGCTCAAAAGTTTTCAGCTTGAGGATTGCCAAAAGAAAAGAAAGCAAGAAAAAAACAACACACCACGAGCACCCTGGCTGCTTCCCATCTTCCAGGGCTTTCTCATCACAGTCCTTGACAGCCCTCTCCACAGAAAGTCTCTCTCTGCTCATCCAGTACAACGGTGCAGGACAATGTCTTCTCCAAATCTAGGGTTTAAAAACTGCCTTCTTTCCTTGGCACGGGTGTCTGAGAGGGCCTTCAAAATGCTGCAGCCGGAATAAAAGTATACAAACGTATACTACGGCTTCTGTCATCAGTACCTGACAGAAGAGAGGCAGGTAGGAAGGAGTCCTAGTGGAGACCTCTAGAGGGCAACCAACCCAGTCCTCCACTCGAGACTGTATCAGAGCCGTTCAGACCACCTGGAAGCCTGTGCTCTTCTTAGGAAGGAAATTACTCATGGCTTTCATGGTAACCCAGCTCCCCAACCCTCTGAGAGGAAGAGCACTTCCTTCCTATCTAACCCACTGCCCTCTGACTGCAATGGCCTGGAAGTACCAGGCCATTGGTGAGACGTACGCTTGGGCAGGCAGACTCTTGTCCTGGGAACCGTGTCCCTCTAGCCTGCAGGGATGTGAGACGGGGCAGAGCTGGGGGTGCAGGAGGATTTCGGTCAAACTTCTACACTTACCCTGTAGCGTCTGGGCAAAGCCAGAGCTAACCTCTCTGCTCAAGTGGAGCACACACCCATCTGTGGGAGGCACTCAGATGACACCCAAGGTCCCCGGGTCCTCCTAAGCACCTGGCTCCGGCCTGCCAGGGCCAGCTTATCTCCATCATTAAAACTGTTCCTGGTCTCCACTTTGAACTAGGCCTTGTGCTCAGAGCACCCTGGGGGATGTCAGGGTCCCTGAGCATAAAGAAGGGAATGCAGGGGAAAAAGAGGCAGATCTGGAATGGGGACCTCAGTCCAGGGCGGGGGGCAAGAGAAGCCCCAAGGGGTCACACCAGGGAAGAAGTAGTTGGTAGTGGGTGAGGGAGTGGCTTGGAGAGGCATCAGACTCAGCACTGGAGAATGCAACTTTCCAGAGTACTGTGAGCTCCTAGGCAAGCTCTTTGAGCCTTCGGTCCCCCATGTAAGATGCAAATACTCGTATCAACTTCTTCAAATCGGGGGGTTCAACAAGAGCACCTCAGGGAAAAACACTTGCACAGAAGCAAGCACATAGTGAGTGTTCAACAACATTTTAGAAAAAAAAAAAAATAGCAAGAAGGTTCTAGGCCAGAAGTGACAGGGTTAGGGTGGAACAGCCCTGAACAAGAGAGGTGAAGTGAAACACACTTCATCGCCTTAACCATCTTTTTCCAAATACAGCTCTCCTGAGGCCTCAAGCTGTTTTGCCCTCTTCCTGTATCTTCTGGCCAAAGCTACAGAGACACAAGCAAGTGTAACAGAGTGTGGGGAAGAGTTCCCTTTGGGGTTCAGCCTTTTGGTCACTAGGGCGTGGACGGGCAAATAACGATGAAGAAATGGAAGAGTGGACATTTCTCATGACAAAAGCCATGAGAGGCGGCTTCAGCTCAGAAGAGAGGAGTAGACTCCCTTAATTCTCCTCATCTCTGCTCCCCAGGACTCATCTGATGATGTGAGAAAGGTTCAGAGAAGGGAGAAAAATCGCATCGCCGCCCAGAAGAGCCGGCAGAGGCAGACACAGAAAGCCGACACCCTCCACCTGGTGAGTGTTGAGTCCTCTCTTCATCCTCTCGGACTGTAGGCTTTGCTCCCCACCAACCTGTGGACACCCGGACAGAGTCTTGAGTCTGCCTGTGTGGAGATGTGTATGTGGGGGTGTCAGTGGAGGGGTGAGGGGATACAGGTGGGGTGGGTGCGTGGAGAAGATTCTGTCGCAGGAAATGGGCCAGGAGGCTGAAAGAGAAATGAGCCCCAGGATGGCATGCACAGGAAAGCTGAGTGTGGGCAGCCCAGAGGCTGGTGGAATGCAGATCCACCTGCTAAGAGATGAGATAACCTCAGAGAGCTCCATCCCACGTGAACCCAGAGAGCAGAAGTCACGACTGCCTTTGGGAGCAATTCAGAAGGTGTTATGTGCTTTGGGGAAGCCTGTCATCTTACAGTGCTAGGAACACATATAGTCCCATCCCCTGGGAGGCCAGCAGAGTGGCCACTCTGGGCCCTGCATTTGGGACAACGAGGTCCACAGGGTGCTGCACCCCACAACTTCTTTTCTGGACATTATTAAGGTTTGATTTCAAAATTTCTATTTTGGTGATATGCCAAGAGGTCTGTGAATGATACAGTTGCAAGTGCACGTATCTGGCAGTCATCATCCTGGTTGAGTTGCCTCCAGCCTTGCACTTTCTAGGGAAGCCCTGACCCCTGGTTTGAGCAGGGGCTTTGGGTGATCAGAACCGCATTTCCTCCAGTAGCGCAAGATCCTGGTCAGTGTTTACAAATCGTGGCTGTGTGCTTCTTACAGAAAAGTCTTCTCCTCACCTCCCTCACCTTACCACCTCGCCTCTCTTCACCCTGCCCTTTAATTTGCTCCCTTTTCAATCAACTCTTATTTCACTAGCTCCTTTCTCTTCTATCCCTTCAGCCCTTCCTCTAGCAACACTGTCCTTTCTCATCCTATCCTGCCCTCCCCCTGACCCCGAACCACTCCAAGACCCCCTAGCATCCCAGGAATTCACTCCAGTGATAAAAAGGGGAATTGGCACCAAAAGTGAATATGCTTACATTTATTTGAAAGATGAGCCTGGTAACTGGCCAGTTAGAGAAAAACTGTATTAATCCCATCAAGGAAAAGTAAGATGCAGTTTTAGGTAAAAAGATATCATTTTTAACTTTGTAAGGAAGCAAAGAGCAGGCAATGTGAAGACCTCTGACTGTTTGCTTGTGTTTTATTTGAAATGTATTCAACATGTTTTCCAATGCATACTAACGTAATTTTATACTCATGAATATCTGTTGACTCAAAAGAAAGAATGAATGAACACTAAGTCTGTTCTCTTTGGTAATTGTGATCAGTAGTCTAAATATTAAGCTGGTGGTGGACCTGCTGCTTATATATTCTCCGTGATTTCACCATGGCTTAGGGGCTCACGACCCTCAAATTTACTATTTTAGGCTTGAAAAATCTATGATTGCCAACTTTGCCTCCATCAGCATCTGATTCTTATTCAGTATTGTTTAGAACAAGCAAATGAACAAATAAATAAAATTAGTAATGATAAAGTCTACTTTTTGGTATAAGTAGACAATGTTCTGAAACTGTAAATCTGCTTAGTTGCAGTTCCCTTATCAGGAAAATGGGAAAATGACTACCTCATAGATAGAGTGCATACAAACAGCTCAGGCTCAGTCCTCCTAGGCATATCATAAATATTCAAAAATTTTAAGTATAATTAGATTAATATTAATGATAGTTATCATTATAAGAAATAAGATGATTACAACTAAGGTTTTATGCATCTGAATTTATATTTATATATAAATCACAGGATCTCAGTCAGGGCTGAAAGATTTCTTAAAGGCTGGAAAGTTCAGACACACTTTTGATGCTCAAGACTCTCTCCAACACCCTCTGGACATGGTCCCTAAAGTATGCCTGTCACTCCTAGCAGTGGAGAGCCCCCTGCCTCCCAACAAGAGCAGAGGAGTCTTCCCTAACTCGAGCTCTGCCACTGTCTCCCTGGGAACTCAACCCCCTGGTCTTTCTTAAACTCGTCGGGGACATATCAGTGAGGGTGACATGCATGCTTCCTTGCTATGGCAAGATTTTCAACACTGACTCTGCTGTCTCTCTTTGCAAGAAGAGAGTTTGAGCCAGAAGATGTAGTCCATCTGATTATACTAGTCAAGACTATACTAGGATAATCTCTGGGGTTTGGAGGTCCATGGAGACCCAAGTCATGTAGTCACCATGTCCATACTCAAACCCTTGGCCCCAGTCTCTAGACTGTTCTCATCTTTGCCATACCTGGACACAGACTTCTCCCCACTCCTTTCTTCTGAGCACCGTGGCACTCACCTTCACTTTTTGACCAGTGAGTAGGACTCCTCAGAGTTTATACAGCAAGCCTGAGTGTTGCAACCAATGTGACTTATATTTCTTGACTTTAGGTAGAAGCTTTTGGTAGCAACATATAAATCTGCCACCATCAATCAGAGGGTTTGGCCGTGATCTGAAATTTGATAGCAACATACAAATCTGCCACCATCAAACAGAGAGCTTGACTGTGATCTGAAATGTTCATTTCCTCTCAGACAGTAATCACCCATCTTCTGCATCCATTATCCTCTTAATCATGTTTGTGATTCAGGTAGAAAGCCTTCTATTTACCACCAGCATTCTTAGGGTTGGGTGCTTGGTTTGCCCTTGATTCCTTTCCACGCTTGTCTCCACATGTTGAGGCTCTGGAACCATTCTCTGGCCCGAAGACACAGCCATAGGACTCACCTAACAAGATGTAAAAGACCAGGGTTTAGAAAGTACTGTGGTCCTAAATAAGGACTATATTTGTATTAGTATGCTAGCCTCTTATATGCGGGGGTAACGATTGATTTCTTAGTTTCAACTTTGTCACTATTATTTCTCTTAAAATAGCAAAAAAATTATTCTGTTTCTCCAGTGAGAGCGTGGAATACTTCTTATGTAGCATTTTCAGTATCTATCCTATAGGTGGTTTGCATCAACACTGTGTGTAGATTGCTTTTAAAATAGCAGAGTAGGGAAGCTGGTGCTTTCAACAAGCGGTTTAACCTCATGCCAATGTGATAACATCTCTGGCCTTGACTACCACTCACATAAACCAAATTAGGAGGGGCTCCTTTTCATAATCGTAATATCAACACTGTCCACATGCTGTCTTTTTGTTTATTTTTGCCGCACCTCGTGGCATGAGGGATTCCAGTTCCCTGACCAAGGGTTGAACCTGTGCCCCCTGCAGTGAAAGCTCAGAGTTCTAACCCCTGGACCACCAAGGAATTCCCCCACATTCTGTTTTAATTCTCACTTGGTTGGTGTCTCCCGCAGCACTCAGCACACTGTTACTTTTCTCCCGCGGTCAAGTGTAGAGTCTGTTAGGCAGGGTGAAGGAATTGATTAAAAAGGAGAAAGTCAGATCTTGAGCCATTCATTTTCAAAAGGTATTAGTCACTAATAAGTGAATCCAAGATAATCAGCTAAAAACTATTAACAATAATAAGAACCCAGTCAGCTTTCAAAGTTAACACAAAAAGTAATAACTTTTCTTATGCAAACTAGATTAAAAAAATTTAATAGGAAGAAAGAGTCTGTTTATAATACCAGGAACAGCAAATGGAAAGAAGGAATAAATTTAACAAAAAAATACAGGGTTTAGTTGTTTTAAGCTTCAAAATTATTCTAGGTGATTTTTAAAATTTCAAATAATTGAAAAAATTATGTCTTATGTAAAGATAGCAATTCTCCTTAAAGTTAATTTAGAAATTTATCTAATTTAATGTGATCTCAATAAAATAGGATTTTCTGGGTATTGGAGGAAATTAAATTAGATATTCTAAATACCTTGTGAAAAATAACCATATGAGAATTTCTAAGAAAATTCTAAAAAAGGAGGGTAATTATAGGAAATTAGCTTAATAAGATATTAAAGTGAATTATAAATATAAAAATCAAAACAATGTGGGATAGATAGAATATTGGACAGAATAGAACATAGAAGTAGACCTCCAAACAAACTCAAATTTGAGACCCAAATACAAATAGACCCAAATACAAATAGACTCAAATATAAATAGACTCAAATGTGTGTTAGTTCCTAAGACACAAGTAAAAATGCAAAATGTCTAAGATGGCATTTCAAACAAGAGAAAGATGAAGTACTCAATAAATTGTGTTGGGGAAACTGGTTAGTCATTTGAAAAAAAAAAAGCTAGAGTCTTCACTTCTTTTACAATGCATATAGATTAAATACAGAAAAAATTAAAGAAATTTGAAAAATTAGCATTAAAAATATTTATCTTGGAATGAAGTCTTCCAGATAAAATGAAAAACCTTGAAGCCATAAGGGAAAGATTGATACACAGTTATCAATAAAAAGTGTATTTTATACATAAGTGAAAATGTCTATATAGTTCAAAGAACCTAATAAGTAAAATCAAAAGCAAGTGAAGACTGGGAAAAATACCTGCAACGCATATGACCAAAAAAGGGCATATTTGCTTAATATATGAGAGCCCTTATGAATAAGAAAATGATCTACAAACAAAAGAAAAAATGAGTGATAATAAGAATAGGCAATTTATAGAAAGAGAAAAATAAATGGCAAATAAATACAGAAAAGCTGCTAGACCTCAGTTAGGAAAATGACAGTTAAAGCAACAGTTACATTCTCTGCCAGACTGACAAAGACAGAAAATGTTGCTAAAAGACCATGTTGCCAAGATGATGGTCAAACTGGTACCACCATGTACTACTACTGGAAGTATAAGTCGGTGCAACTCCATTAGGGAGAAATTTGACCATGTCCAAAGTTACTAGTGTGCATACACGGTAACTTGGCAATTTTACATCTAGGAATCTGTTTACAAATGTATTCACAGATTACACAATTATGTACATGTAGATATAATCCTCACTGCATTGCTTGTCATAGCAAAGACTGGAAATAAGCTAAATAGTCATCAGTAAGAGAATCATTCAATAAACTAGAGTTGGTTTATTCAGTGGAA